TATGATTTATCAGTTTCCTTTGTGAAATACTTTGCGAATTCCATCTCGGCCAATTTGTGTAACAGTCTTGATAATTGTACAGATGAATTCTGGGTAGATTTGGGCACGCCTCAGAATTGTGGTGTGAGCGGTATCGGAGCGAAATTGGAGCGAGACAAAGCGACCGCTCCAGCCTTAATTAAAAAACTGCTCCACGCTCTGATCAAATTCCGCCCGCTCCGCTCCTCGCTCACGCTCCGCTCCGCTCACATGCTCTGGCCTGGACTATTGTAATGCACTTTATTTTTGGGACAGCCAGACTGCGTTGTCTCTACTGCAGGTGGTGCTAAATTCTGCTGCACGCCTACTAATCAAATCTTAAAAAATGTGCCACATCAGTCATTTTAACATTGTTACACTGGTTACCGGTGAAACTTCAAGTAGAGTTAAAAATTTTACTGTTCATTTTTAAAGCGTTGAATGGGGGAACACCAGCCTATATCAGTGACCTCATACATTTGTACTGTCCACCGAGAGCCCTGAGGTCATCTGATCAGCTGCTGCTCTCCATACCAACCAGCCGTTTGAGGAAGAAAGGTGACCATGCTTTCTCCGTGGCTGGGTCCAAGTTGTGGAACATGCTCACTCGCCATGTCCGATCTGCACCCACTATTGAATGTTTTAAGTTGAGGCTAAAAACTCATTTATTTGCCGAGTACTGATGTAATTAGTTTTTTTCCCCTTGCCTTTTATGCTTATTGTTTTTATTGATGTAAAGCCACTGGTTGATTTTAACAGTGCAATATAAATTAAATGATTTCACTTGACTTGACTAGGGAAATCTTTCATTTCTCTCTAAAACCTAAATTTCAACTTCACTAAGAATTCAAAAATGACCATGGGAACTTAAATATTGGCACAGCATGCAGGACGAAGGGCTTGGAAGCTGGTGTTAGGCAAAAAGGGGTTCTATTAACTGAATGTGAGCAGGGAAACTAACAAGACCGTGAGGGATCAAAACAAGAAGGCCAATATGGGGAAGGACACAGGCAAACAGGAGGACTGACATCAATGACCGGTCTGAGACTGACAAGACAGACACGTACTGAAATACAAAGATTAACGAGGGGTAACAAGCAACAGGCATGGCTCATCTGGGCCACATTAAGAAAGAGACAGATGGGTCAAGCAGAGGTGACGGGCATATTAGTAAAGAGGGAGAACAAACCAGCATAAATTGTCAAAAAACCCAACTACTGAACAAACGTCCAGGGCTGATTTTTAATCCCAAACCAGCTCTACTAACTAGAGCTGCACCATTGTAGAAATTTGATGAATACCGACAGACTGTCAATAGCATTAATCAGCAAACCAGTCAGACACTTGTCAGGCTGGGACAGTGGGGGCGAGGGGGCGGGGTGCCGGCAGTGAAATTGGCCAAACTTGCTGACGTAGATAAGCAGAATGATGTCACATATTTCTTTTTATTCTGTGGAAAATGAGAGATTGATCTGATGGCCAGAATTAATTAATTGTAAACGCTGCAGGCTTGTACACCTCTTTAAGTGATAAATGACCCAGTAAAATCCCTCGTCCTCCACTACAAGAAATGGCTGATCGTCCAATTCAGTCATCTACAATTTTTTTTGTGCCTTTAGCTCTGGTGCTGATAACTTTGTATATTATTATAAAGTTTAATATTGGCCGGCAGTATCAACCAAGATCGACATATTGAACTGATGCTGATATCTTACTTTTTAATGAATATTGCCATATGTTAAACTGATAGTAATAGTAATATTAATATTAGCAAGTAATATTAGGCTAGGCCTAATATTACTTGCTAATTAGCTAATTCAACTAATGGTCTTGATTACTGCTACCATAGTTAGCAAAAACTATTACTTTTTTGCACTACAAAATAGGACCATGTCCAAAAAGCATCATAGTGCAAAGATTATCTTAACCATTAGAGAATGAGTTCTGCAAGGCAAAACAAGGGTGAGTTTTTGCCAAAAGTGTCAAATCACAAAGTTCATGTCCATAACGCATAGATTATCCGGTAGGTATCCAGTATCCTTTATGAATACTAATGAGCCTTCCTCTGTCATCCTGCATTTTGAAAACGTGCTGGCACTGCTACTTAGCATATCTACCTGAAGCATATGAACACAACAGTGCACAACCCAGAAGTAGGGGTATCTTCAAGGAGTATTTTGGCCACAAAAGTCAATTAGAATTGATTATGGCAGTACATATTAAATGCAGCTGAATCTCAACTACAATAATCTGTTTATTGATTGATGCATGTTTATGCCACTATTAATGCATTTTTATACCACATATTATTTACATACAGCAACATCTCCCCATCTTTCAACCACTTATCCAATACAGGGTCATGGTGAGCCTGCATGCAGTCTATCTTAGGATTCACAAGGCACAAGGCAGGGCAATGCCCTGGACAGGGTAAGAGGTTGTAAGATCCCAGCATACCAGCATTGTTAGGTGTGGTGGTAACAGCTTCAGGTTTTGAAGATACTTGTCATTTAGCTAGGATCGTAAAACTGAATAGAACACCAAACATGATAAATACAGACAAACTCTTGAGGGGAAAAAATCAGTTTGAAGAACAAGACTGAGACAGAGGATTAAAAAAACACATCAGAGGGAAAAGAAATGTTTGTACTTCCCTAAATATTATTTCAACTAGGACATGGACAATCATAGCTGAACATTGTATCTTCCATATGTACAATATCTACAGACAATCTCACATCAAAATACACATTTAAAATTAAATATTTATTAAAATATGTATTCTTAATAAATATTATGAATAAGTATGGGTGAACAGAACAATGACAAAAAATGACACTACTTAATATGAGGATGAGAAGAAGAGACACAAAATCCAGAAAACTTAAATGAATGTTTTGAGTGACTAAGTAATGGACAGCTATGTCTTGCCTGCTATTGTTAGTCAGAAGCTCTGTGCCACGGCTCCAGAAGAGGGTGGGTTTGGGGGCAGCACGTGGCTTGCACTCCATCATCACCTGCCCCCCTCGCGCTGCTGGAACAAGCCTCCGAACTGGATTCTGGCGAAAATCTGGGGCCAGGACTATGGCAGGCCAGGGAAACAGAGGCAAGAAGAGGAAATAATAGAGATAGAGCCGAGAGAAAAGACATGAAAAGACACACTATATAGAGGATAAAAAATTATTCTGATGAGCTAGTTGGGGAGGCCTGACAGGGACAATACAATGCATCAACACAGTGGTGCAACATAAGTATGATAGGTTAGTAAAAAAAAAATAAAGTATAAAGAAGAAGATTAATTTAAAACTTGAATTATTGCTTCATAAATATTCATTTAATTTTCCTTAAAAATACCCATTTCATTTTCCTTAATGGCTTATTGCGTGCAGGGTCCAGTGAGCCTGGAGCCTAATCCAGGAAACACTGAGGACATACGCACACAATTGTACATTAATGGAAATTTATAGACAAAAATTCAAGTCAACTCAACAATTCAAGAAACTTTTCGGACAGTGATTAACACTACAGCCTTACACCTCTTAGTGTGCAGCTCAATTCTGGCCATTGGTGCTGTGTGCGTGTCACATGCCCTTTCATGTTTATCTGAGTTTCTTCCAAATTCTCTGGTTTCTAATGTTGCCCTGGGATGTACTGGCATCCTATTCAGGGTGCTCCCTGGCCTGACATTGCTGTACAGGATCCAAGATATCACAATACTGAACAAGCAGGATGGATAGATAGTTAATATATTCCTTTTGAAAATCTCCATCTCTTAAATTTATGTATGGTAGTACCTTAATGTGTTCATTTTGGCATCTCACCTTGAACCCTTAGTTCTGCATTAGAATAGATGGTGCCATGCTTGTTCTCAGCCACACACTGGTACATCCCAGAGTCTTCTAGTGCCAAATGGCTTATTTTCAGCAGTCCACCGTTGACTTCAATTCGATCCTGATGTCCAAGTAGATTATAATTATGAAGTAGTAGCAGAACATACAATAATAAATGAATGTTATATTTAAATGGTTTGATTCTATTGACAGTGCTGAATATCATGATATATTTTAGTTAAAATGTTTTTTTTGCAAACCTGTGTGCTGATTGACTGCCCATTGCGCAACCAGCGCACAGACGGACGAGGCTTCCCTGCTGATGCACAACTCCAGCGCAGTTCTGAACTTATTTCGACCTCTGAGTCACTCATTACATGCAGCCATTCTGGCTGGGCTATGAGAAAGTTGTTGATCGTGATAAGTATTCCAGAAACAGTACATAAACCACATTTACAAATCATTCTAAATACAACCAAGGAAAATACAACACTGTGGTAATGTGCTTTTTTTTATCTGTGGTTAAATTGGAAGAGAAATTCATTTATCTGTTACCTTGCAGTATAATGCGACCTTGGTAGACGTCACGACCCTCTGAATTTTCGGCCTCACACTCATATATCCCTTCATCATCAAATTCAAGCTCTGGCAGTATCAGAATGGGCCCACTGGCACCCGTGGAGGCCTTGGAAGGCAAGTTCCCATCCACTTTCCTCCAGCGTATCTGTGGTACAGGACTTGGGGGAAAATGGCAGAGGTCAGGAAAGTTTCCTGCTGTGATTACAAAATAACCAAGTTATCCGCTTATAGTCAAAGCATACAGAAATTGCGTTTTCCATTCAAGACTGTCAAGCTGACAGTTGTTGTTAAGTGCATCAGTAAATGTTCAACTATACAACAGAATGGGATACTAACACTATTAATAATACTCCTGGGGAAATGCTCGTACCCCATTTTGCTCTCCATGAGACTCACAGAAACATGTACAGGTTAGAGCAAGTTTGGAGGTTGCAGTACAGGGTCAACCAGCATGCAGCACCCCTGGAACTGGGAGTTAAGGGCCTTGCTGAAGGGCCCATGGACATATGACTATTGTCCTGAGGCCTGAACTGGCAACCATCTAATCACAGGCACAGAGGCTTAGACAGCCAAGCTCCAGCACAATTAAGCTTTAGAAATTATTTTGAATTTGGGAAATTAAATTTACTTGGCCTTATTTCTTTTACAGAAAATCTCAATTGGTGGTAAACATTTTTATTGCAGACATTTAATTTAATGATGAAAATTAGTCATTTGCTAACATTCTATAATCATTTGGAATCATCCATCCATCCATCCTCTACCGCTTGTCCGGGTCAGGTCGCAGGGGCAACAGTCTAAGCAGGGAAACCCAGACTTCCCTCTCCCCGGCCACTTCGTCCAGCTCCTCTGGGGGAATCCCGAGGCGTTCCCAGGCCAGCCAAGAGACAGTCTCTCCAGCGTGTCCTGGGTCTTCCCCGGGACCTCCTCCCAGTGGGACATGCCCAGAACACCTCACCAGGGAGGCGTCCAGACCCCGAGATGCTTAAACTCCTTCACTTGGGGAAGAACCCCATCCCCGATCCAGAGAGAGCATTCCAACCTTTTCCAGCTGAGGACCAAAGTCTTGGATTGATTCTCATCTCAACCGCTTCACTCTCGGCTGCGAACTGCTCCAGTGAGAGCTGAAGGTCACCAAACCAAACACCCTCAACGTCCTAGCTGCGCCTAGAAATTCTGTCCATAAAAGTTATGAACAGAATCAGTGACAAAGGGCAGCCCTGGCAGAGTCCAACCCTCACCGGAAACGAGTCCGACTTACTCAGGACAATGCGGACCAAGCTCTGACACCAGTCATACAGGGACCGAACAGCCCTTATAAGTAAGCCCGGCACGCCATACTCCCCTAGCACTCCCCACAGGATTCCCCAAGGGACATGGTCGAATGCCTTCTTCAAGTCCACAAACCACATGTAGATTGGTTGGGCAAACTCCCATGCACCCTCCAGGACCCTGCTGAGAGTATACAGCTGGTACACTGTTCCATGGCCAGGGCGAAAACCACACTGCTCCTCCTGAATCCAAGGTTCAACAATCCGACGGACGCTCCTCTCCAGGACCCCCGAATAGACCTTACCAGGGAAGGCTGAGGAGTGTGATCCCCCTATAGTTGGAGCACACCCTCCAGTCCCCCTTTTTAAAGAGGGGGACCACCACCCCGGTCTGCCAGTCCAGAGGCACTGCCCCCGATGTCCACGCGATGCTGCAGATGCGTGTCAACCAGGAGAGCCCCACAGCATCCAGAGCCTTGAGGAACTCCGGGCGGATCTCATCCACTCTTGGGGCCTGGCCACCGAGGAGCTTTTTAACCACCTCAGCGACCTCCACCCCAGAGATAGGGGAGTCCACCCCCATATCCCCAGACTCTGCTTCCTTGTTGGAAGGTGTGTCGGTGGGATTGAGGAGGTCTTCGAAGTACTCCCTCCACCAACCCAAAACGTCCCGAGTTGAGGTCAGCAGCACCCTATCCCCACCATACACAGTGTTGATGCTACACCGCTTTCCCGCCCTGAGCCACTGGATGGTGGACCAGAATCTCTTCGAAGCCATCCGGAAGTCGTTCTCCATGGCCTCACTAAACTCCTCCCACACCCAAATTTTTGCCTCAGTGACCAGCAAAACTGCATTCCGCTTGGCCCACCAGTATTCGTCGGCTGCTTCTGGAGTCCCACAGACCAAAAATGCCCGATAGGACTCCTTCTTCAGATTGACAGCATTCAGATTGACGGTATGTTCGGGGATTGCCGCTGCAACAGGCACCGACCACCTTACGGCCACAGCTCTGGTCAGCCGCCTCCACAATGGAGGCGTGGACATAGCCCTTTCAGACGCAATGTCCCCTGCCTCCCCTGGGACTTGGGCAAAGTTTTGCCAGAGATGAGAGTTGAAGCTCCTCCTGGCAGGTGATTCCACCAGACATTCCCAGCAGACCCTCACTATACGCTTGGGCCTGCCAGGCCTGATCGGCTTCCTCCCCCACCAGCGGAGTCAACCTACCACCAGGTGTTGATCGGTTGACAGCTCCGCCCCTCTCTTCACCCGAATGTCCAATACATAGGGCCGTAAGACCGATGACACGACCACAAAGTCAATCATCAAACTGCGGCCTAGGGTGTCCTGATGCGATGTGCACATATGGACACCCTTATGTTTGAACATGGTGTTCATTATGGACAATCCGTGATGAACACAGAAGCCCAATAGCAGAACACCACTCTGGTTCAGATCAGGGGGGGCATTCCTCCCAATCACGCCACTCCAGGTCTCACTGTCATTGCCCACATAAGCATTGAAGTTCCCCAGCAGAACAAGAGAGTCCCTAGGGGGAGTCCTCTCCAACACCCCTTCCAAGGACTCCAAAAAGGGTGTGTATTCTGAACTGCCGCTTAGTGCAAACAACAATCAGGACCCGCCCCCCCCACCCGAAGGCAAAGGGAGGTTACCCTTTCGTCCACCGCAGTAAACCCCAATGTACAGGCCCCCAGCCAGGGGGCAAGAAGTATGCCCACCCCTGCTCGGCGCCTCTCTCCGTGAGCAACTCCAAGGTGGAGGAGGGTCCAACCCCCCTCAAGAGACTGGTTCCAGACCCCAAGCCGTGCATTGAGGTGAGCCCAACTATATCTAGTCGGAACCTCACAACCTCGCACACCAGTTCAGGCTCCTTCCCCTCCAGAGAGGTGACATTCCATCTCCCTAGAGCTAGCTTTTGCAGCTGAGGATCGGCCTGCCAAGGTCCCTGCCTTCAGCCACTGCCTAACTCACACAGCACCTGACCCCTCCTACAGGTGGTGAGCCCATTGGAGGGGGGACCCACATGCCTTGTTCGGGCTGTGTCCGACCAGGCCCCATGGGTGCAGGCCTGACCACCAGGCGCTCGCCATCGAGCCCCACCCTCAGGCCTAGCTCCAGGGCGGGGCCCCGGTGATCCAAGTTCAGGCGCATTTGCAATCATTGCAGTTATTATTCTGTAAAATGTATATGTAGCCTTCCCTCATTTTCTGGAGGGGGGTACCTTGAATATCTTTATACCTTTTATAAAAGGAAACAAATAGAAACTACTTGAACAATGTAAATTAGTTAATAATAGTTACTGTTTTGTTTAATATTGTAATGCTTTTTTAAAAGTATATACGTAATGGATGCTAACAACACTAAACAAATAAATGGACATGGAAGGACACATCTAATAATGCTTTGAATGTGATGTCAATAATGCATAATATGTTTAAAGAACTCCAGCAAAAGACGAGACTATTATTATTATTAGATTATTATTATTATTATTGTTATTATAATTATCAACAGTCCATTTTTGTCTCACTGGGGATATAGTAAACACACTGTGGTCTAATAAAAAAATATAAACTAGCAACTGCCATCATCTCAATGCATGCATATGTCTAAATTCATTTATTACAGTTATAAGCTGCTCATACATTTTAGTTGCTTGGCAGACATGAGCTTGTACCTTGAAATACCTTAATTGTTTTGTTTTAAAGTATGAAGTTTTATTTTCACATGTGTTCCCAGGAAATTTTGGTGCCACGGTTGCAAGTAAGGGGAAAATGCATGTGGGGACAATAGGACCAACAACAATTAAGGATGAAACAGCAGTGCACTAAAAGAGACCACATAGTGCAAGACAAAAGACAGTACTATATAAGAATTTTAGTGGCCTTGAAGTTCTAGACAAGGGTATGTGGCAATCCATTATTACATCATTTATACAGAATGGTACATGAAATGGAAAAAAGAAGATGGAAAGAAAGCAAGTAGAAAACACAGGAGAGGAGCCAAACTGGTAGTCTTGCAACCACCCACCTCTTAATTAAAGGCAAAGTGTAAACTGAGGTCATGGTCAAAACTACAAAAGTAAATTTGTATAGGGTTGAATTATTCTACACATGTATAAATAATTTGCTACTAGGGGTAATTAAACAGAAAGCAAAGAAGAACAATCAAATCTCAAAAGGACTAACTACTTGTTTACAAAGTCCTCTTTATAAAGTACTTATCAAAAAACATAAACATAGTATTAATGCAAGCTGTGGCTTTATGCACAATATCACATAACTTTTCAGCTGATTTCTTTTAAAATTTTGATTATATGTAAATGCAAATACTCAGAAATGCAAATACTCTGTAAATATATTGATTATAATTACAGTTATGTTTGCCAGTGATTGGTAAGACTCACTTGCCATAGGCAAAACATTCAAGCTGTGCAGTGTGTCCAGCCAGGGCATACGTCTCAGATGGAAAGCGTACTTTAATATTAGGTGCAGTCCTTCTGGGGTTTGCTAGAAAGAAGAGGACAAATTAAGAACTAGTGATAATGACAGGGTACAAGGGTACGAGGCACAATGCACTTTGCAGATTATTCTATAATACTGTATTCTCAACTGCATTCTGCACAATACTAGCATACAAAGACATTGGAATTGATTGCAGTGAATTGGTTAAAAAATAAGGCATGTCTGAGTTAAACCATAAAAATAATAGCACATGTCAATTTTTCATCAATAGCAAAATGAGAAAAACATAATGTACGGTATACATATTTTATTTGACAAAGGTATTGTGTTTACAACTTGATCTCTTTACTCTTTGGAATATTACACAAATTCTCTGAATGTTATCTGTCACACAACATTAGGGTACCCGTTATGCAAGTAAAGTGACACTGATAATTTATGGGATGATTACAAACCATCAGATAAAACCGTGAGTGGGTTCGCCCTGCTGAAGACACTTTTGGTGCTGATTTCCATGTTATTTGTGGTGAAGCAAAAGTAGTTGCCTGAGTCTTTAACTTCTGCAGTGGCTATGTACAGATTCCCTGTAACTTGGGAAATGAACCATCGACCATCAGTAGTCTGGACAAAATTAGGAAATTCATTGAAGAACCAGCGGTATGACAGTGCTGCAAAAGTGGAAAAACAGATTTATTAGCAGTTGTATAATATTTATTCATACAGACATTAACATATTATCCCACAGACTAATTACTGACTAATTAGGAACAGTGTATGCACCTAAAAAAAATCTGCTGGTTGTAAAAGCATATCTACTCCAGAAAACTTTCAATTCTCAGATGTGTTGCTCATAGGATCACATCTCAACAACTCCACCTTTGGTGCAGTTTCTAACTGATTATGATGTAACAGGGGATCAATACAGTGTCAGAAAAAAATATACCAATTGGTACCTTAGAAGGATCAATTACTTGTCACTGAGGCAGTACCCTTAATGGCCTGTCAATTGTACCGTAGCATTAGGTAAATGTCCCTCTTAGTCTAATTTAAGGTACAGAAATGGACTTTGAGGAACGTGTTTGTACCATTTGATGTTAATGTTTGAACCTTGAGGAACAAAACTGTACCAGGGCTTTTTCCTTTTTTTCTGACAGTGTAGCCTTACCAGAATGGCTACATTTCTTTTTTTCATCAAGACAAAGACAACATGCCACATGAAGCAGCTTCTTGCATGATGTTAGCCTCCAACACTGTATACGTACAATTCTGAATATGCAGTAATTAATTGTGTACATTTTACTGGAGGTTCATTTGCTAACATAAACAATTTGTACAGTTAGAGGGCATACAATGTTCTTAAAGATGAGACTTAAGACCATGATCCTCAAAGTGTGACTTTGCAGATCCTTACTTTTACATTCTGTGGAAGGGGGGTAAGTAAAGACAGTGAAAGTGTAAGATATGTAAAACAAATTGTTATGAGTCCATAATGAAAATGAGTAATTATAGAAAATACAATGAAAAAATTATAGAAAATATAATGAAAAAAGATATCATCAGTGATATCATCCCTATTCTTCTCATTACATATGTGACTCTGTAGTTTTTCTGTAATGCAAACTCGAAGGGATTTGAGCATACTTGGGTAGTGGGAAGGTGGGTGACAGGTGAGAGTAGCTCCTGCCCCCTCATATACAGTTTGAGGACTCCTTTCATCTGGGGGAAAGTCATGGAGGTCTGAGAAAAACAAGCAAGAAAATATTATAAAATAGACAAACATCACAGCAGGGTTATAGGATTAAAATATAGATGATCCACATGTATGGGTGCACATAAGAAAATTCAAAATGTCACTGGAATTAACACATCTGCTGAAAAATCATCAAATTAATTAATAGCAAATAAATTTTTGCTAAATAATATTATATTACCGAATTACTACAAAACAGTAATATATAGTGTATAAAACAGTATATATGTGGCACTCTCCAAAGTTTCCAGGGTGCTTGAGAAAACACTCACAGCCAAATCTGAGGTTTGCAGCTCGACTGATGATTGTGCCACAGCGATTGATGGCGAGGCACTGATAAGAGCCACTATCTCTGCTATACTGTGGGCTGCTAATCAACAGGTTCCCTGCTACCAGGCTGTACCGTGTTTCATTCTCCAGTGGCACATTGGTCCCATTCACTTTCCACCTAAATGGGGAGATAGAGCATATTTTCAGAGGGCCTCCTTTAATTGTGGAAGCTGGCTTTGCTTGCATTTATTTCTGGAAGTTGGGAAGATCACAAGACTTTTATGAACTTTTTGGCCAGACCTTTATCGATATTTCTGATAATGGAATGCGTAAGTCTGTATGAAATACTTCATTACAGGCTAAGAAAATTTTGCATGTTATATAAAGCATTGGTAAGTTCCTGCAGACAGCACTTACATATATTTACTATTGTACACATAGCTAAAAAATACACACTCCACAAAATGTGAATTACGATCTGAAATTTGGCATGATAGATGTTATATTCAGAGCAGTCTAGGTGAAAATGCCAAATCACTGAACTGTTTTAAACACCCGCCTGAAAATTACAGCAAAGTGGTCTGCTGTGAAAATATATGTATATGTATTTAAATATTTAAAACTTTTAAATATAGCAAATTTATTGCACACTTCACATTATAGGATTTATAAGATTCTGTTCTGTCTGTAGTATTGTATTTCCAATTCTAGAAGCGTTTCAGTCTTTATCTATATTCTTAAACTTGTACAATATGTAACATCCTGCCCGTCATGTCCACCTGACCCTCCAGTCTCCTCCCTGACGTGGACCTGATGATCCACGCCTGTTGTTTGTTGTCTCTTGTTAGTCTTTGTATTTCAGTACCTGTTTGTCTCATCAACCCGAGTCTGGTCATTGTCATTAACATGTGTGCCCTTCCCCATATTATTGAGGATAGGTTAGCTGAGCTAAATTTGTTCAGCCTCGACCAAAGGAGACTAAGGGGAGACATGATCCAGATATATAAGATTTTAACAGGTCTGGATGCTATTCAGCCAAATGGCTACTTCAATATTAGTTTAAATACTAGAACTCATGGCCATAAGTAGAAATTAGTGGGAGAACATTTTAAAATTAATTTTAGAAAGCACTTCTTTACACACCGTGTAGAGTATGGAATAGTCCTCCTGTTAGTGCAGTGCAAACTAAAACCCTGCGTTCCTTTAAATCAGAGCTAGATAAGATTTTAACAACTCTGAGCTATTAGTTGAGTTCTGCCTAAAAAACCTTGATAGGCCGAATTAACTCCACTTGTTTGTAAATTTCTTGTTCTCCTTTTGACCCCTTGAGGTTGTTTATTTCCTTGCTCCAGTTTTGTTTAATAAAGCCCCCTTTCAGTTCTTATTACACCTGCCTTCGAGTGCTTCATTTGCGTGTCATGACAGAATCAATATTATTTATTCATTGGCTCTGAAAGTTGAAGCAAATCTAATTGAGTAGGACTGAACAATTTGGGGAACATTTCTAATCACGATTTTTCCTTGGGTTTCACATGATTGTTTGTCAGCACATACGCAGTCCTTTGGGCCACTTCAATTTGGTGAGCATGACTGGCACGTGAGGAGCACAGCATTTCTGATTAGTGAGAATGACCGTCACGCAAAGAGGATGACAAGAATTTGTGAAACTTATGACAGTCTGGCATGCTGTATTATGCATTTCCTAAATTACAGCCTTTGCGATTTGCTAATCACCTTGTTTCAAATTGTGATTTCAATTTGAAATCAATATATCGTCAAGACCTATAATTGAGTGTCCTTGGGATTGCAGAGATTTCTCTTGCATGTTAATGGTGTAGACTGTATTCTTAGCAAAATTGCATTGTTGCAAAACTATAATAACAGAGTGGTCTGCTATGATATGTGAAAAAATTAAAAACAAATGCAGTTTATTCTTTACGAAAAACAGCACCGTACACTACCAGTCAAATGTTTTTACACACCACAGGTGTTTTACCACTTCCATTTATTTCATGAACTGCAGATTTTTTATTAATGTTAACAAAACTGTTGAAGAGGCATGGGAATTTTTTAAAAGCACATTATTGCAAGTGCAAGAGGACTTCATACCTGTTTCCAGCAAGAATCAATTTAGGAAATTGCAACCTAGGTGGTTTACTAGGGAAATAAAGTATAAAGTAAGGAGGAAAAGGGCTTTGTTCCAGAAATGGAAAATAACTGATGATGACAGAATAAAGCAAGAGTATCTAAATCTACAGGCTGAGTTAAAAAATGACATTAGACGAGCTAAAAGGAATGTCGAAAGGAAGATTGCATTGGAGGCTAAGGATGATGTTAAAAGTTTCTTCCA